TCTGTGCTTATTTTCTTTCAGTTGTGCACATTAACAATAGGAAATGAGATCTGTGACATGAAATGAAAGAATATAGACTATTGATCCTGCAAGAGAGCAGGTAAAAGAGGAGTTAAAATGTACTCAATTCCAATTGTAAATCAGGCCTGCAAGAAGTGCCTATAACTTCTACTACAATAGCCTTATAAAGCATGCATTAATATTAGTAACATGATGGATGTGAAACAGTGCCAGAGAAGTCACAAAATTTCTCCAGTGGCACATAAATACTGTGGTAGCAAGAGAAGAATTTCAGGTTAGGTCCGTCTCATTCCAAAGTTACATTCTTATAAAACTGAGTCATCAAGCAGACCACTTGATAAAATCCAGATCAGTGCTGCTTAAATTATAATATACCTGTGAGTCAGGTGGGATCTTGCAAAAATGTAGACTCTGACTTAGTAGGTGTGAGGAGGTGTCTACATCCATTGTATTCATACTCGCCAGACAGTGCTAACAGTGTTGGTGTGGAGACTTAAAATTGGTAGTTTCTACCTGAGCTTTTTGGGTTCAGTAGTGAAAAAAATTTCAGAGAAAAGTCTAGGGTCCCAAAACAAGTTTATGACAGCAGAGTTTGAGCTGGTGTTAATGCTAAAAAGTACTTTTGGAGGTAGCCTTCTCCTTTGTTTCCATCAGTTCTCCAAAGCAGGACTATATTAAAATGGAAGTACTTGCTAAGCAAACTCAGTTAATTTCTCAATTGAATTGTCAACCTTCTCATCAATATGGAATTCTGGAATCACCACTATTATGAACTTGTTCTGACTTCCAGTCAGTGCTCTTTCTACTGTAATTCAAGTATTACATCTCATCTCAAAGTAGCATGCACTAATGAGTAAGGGAATGAAGCCATTACAATCCTCCACTGCAGGGGTCACAAACTCTTAAAAGTCTACAACCAGTCAAGTTGTGCAAAGAAATAGAGCCAGTTTGAAAGGGTGTTGACCTGACAGCTTGTGTATATTCCAACAGGGAGCTCACAAACAGCTCTCAGGCATTCAGAGATGTTAGAAACGGAAATTGTTTTTCCCTTTCCAAAAGATTGCATCTTAGCGCTATGCTTAAATCCTTAAAAAAATTGTACAGAGAATCCCCATATACTTCCAGCACCCACCACCTAAATTCCCAGCTGACATTCTGGGAAACCAAAACTATAGAGACGGTAAAAAGATCAGTGCTTGCCAGAAGTTAATGTGGACTGAAATGAATATGCACAACACAGAGGACTTTAAGGCAGGGAAATTATTTTACTCTAAGACATAGCAACAGATGGCACATGTCACTATACATCTGTGAAAATCCATAAGATGTACAATATTTCAAGCATCCCTGAAAGTAGACTATGGACTTTGGGTAAAGAGGTTAGGTCACTGTAGGTTCCTAGATTATAACAAACATACTACTTGTTGTAGGATATTGGTAGTTGGGGAATTTCAAGTAATTTGGCTCCAGAATTCCTTTAAAACAGTATGTGAGTGTGTGAATGTGTAATATTTATGCTACATTATCTCAAAACCATCTTTCCAGGGCGGGGCAGCGTGAGAATAAGCTCTCATTTATAGTATTTGGTAACATGCACAGTGTACAATTTAGCAATGCTTGTAGTGGTAAAAGTGGGTTCCATTACAACATTGCTTTAGCTTTATTTGAATTAAACTGTATGAACTTGAATTGTCTGACACTTCTTTTTTCTTTGGTTTATTTTTAATCAGCTTATACAATGAACAGAAGACAAATATTCTTTCTTTAAGGAATGGAAAAAAGCATTTTGACATTTATAGTGCTTTAGAATTTTACACAAGTTAGGTAAAATATAGATTATGAGCAATTAGAAGGAATTGTTTCTCCATATTTACTCTAAAATCTGATTTTCTTAGAAATATTATGTCAACATATACATTACAGTAATCAAATTTTAATTAAAGAAAATAAATGAGTAAATGTATCTAATGAACTGTATTGAAAGGTCAAAATTTAAATTAGTTGACCAATTCTTTAGTGCACTAATCATGCATTAGAACTATACATAATTTCCTTTTCCTTTAACTCAAAAGCAAATAGGTTGATCAGAGTAGTTTTAGCTTCCATTATATCTATTTTGAAAGTGAGAATTATTTTATTATTCAAATGCTTGAATAATAAAACACCCTAAGATGACCCTAAATTGAAGAAAATATTTATTGTATTGCACAAATTAATCACAAATAAATCATATTTTTCTGCACCTCATTATCTCATTTTAAGAAAGCAGCTGGAAATATACTGAGCAACACATGAATACTCAAAAAAACAAAAATTTTAAATGTCCTTTGAGAAACATTTTCTTAAGAAGATTTAGAAATAACAAAAATTGACAAGTGACTTAAGTATATCTTGACTTATTTTTGCAATCAGCATACAATTAGAATACATATTTATGTAACAAAGTTTTTTATTTAAATGAATATAATTGTAGTGCTTGAGATATTAAATAAGTTCAATTATGTCCTCAGTTCTAAATTCAGTCACTGAGCATCAGGCAGTTTTAAAAAGAAGTTAAATGACTAAAAATTAGTTAACTTTAAGAAGTTTGTACACATCAGTTAAATTGTTTATTATTTGCCGTTTTAAGCCAAAAGGAGTACTGAGGAAACAGGTATGTTTTTATCTTTCTGTGTATATAGCACATATGTGTTTTTCTAGCAACTTTAAGCCAATATTTTACAAGGTAAATCAAGAATATTCAGATGCAATGTAGGGCATTATAATTATTATTTTGAAATATGTATTATTTGTTATGCAGTTTTTTACATATAAGCTGATAAAATTTGAATTACTACTTGGATATTTTATTTAAAAATACAGTTAATATTTAGGTATTTTAGGTGGATTTCTGGGCAAGAGATTAGGAAATTTTATAAGAACTATTTATAAGAAACACTCAATGTTAAGGTTGACCTTCTAGGCCTTAGTTAAACAATTCCTCAGGAGTTGAACTCCCAAAACAGTTTTCATTTTTGTCCTTGACTTACATGTAGGTCTACAAAGTTTTATGTCAAATGTGTATATACAGACAAGGATGGGGAGCAGGAGAAGGAAAGAAAAGAGACAGCAAACAATGGGCTGCAAATAGTAACAAAATCAGGAGGCTCTCTCACTAATATCGACAGACAATGTCAAGAACAGTGGATGGCCTGTGATTTTATCCTGTTTTCCAGCAAACAAGTTTGCCTGTCACATTGTCACAGAAGTTGACAGAAGGCATCAGACACAGGACTGTATTAGTCAGCCCAGCAACCACTATAACCTTCATGTCCACGTCCCCACTGGGTCCAACAGGAGGCATACAGAGGTGGGTTCAAGAACACACTACCCACATCCAGTTGAAGGCACTCAAGAAACCATGATCCTTTACTAAGTAGCTGCAAGCAAATCTAACTAAACTTTGCTTCAAACAGAAACATGAGATGAAAACCAGAACAATAGGCACCTTAAGTGATTGCAGCCATTATGTATTTAAATACCTAAATTAAGGACCCCAACATTACCTTTCTCAATGGCTTTAGGTAGAAGTAAATGAGATAACATAAGTACAAGTGCTTAGTATTAAGAGGTAAATTACTGCTGGCTCCTATTGTAATATTTAAGCATATACTGAAATATATCGCCTCTAATGCGTAAATATCTGTCCTCCATAATAAAAATAATACACATTTTCTTTGCTTTAGATGAACTTCATTATTTTTTAAAGGAGCTTTGGGCTCACAACAAAATTGAGAAGCTATATATTTTCCCTTTCTTCTGACTGGACTGTCAATGTCCCAAATTGAGTGATAGTTTGTTACATTTGAAATGCATGTATTGAACTGTCATTATTACCCAGAATCCATAGCTTGCATTATAGCTCACTGTTGGTGCTGCACATAAGTACTACCTCTCTGATTAATTTCCTATCAGTATCTCTCTAGATACCCTTGTCTATTTATAAAAAATTTCCTTTTGTCTTTTTTCTGTTGTAACTCCACAACTTTTAAAATTATATATAAATATATAACTCAAAATTGTACCCAGTATCTTACATATGCTAGGAAAGCATTGAGCTACACTGTGAACCCCTGTTCAAGCATAATCAAGGTATCATGTAAAATTGGATAGTCTATACTGGATCCCACAGAGATCTGCTCATTTTGATCACTCAAGGACACAAGCCACCACCGTGTGGTTGTTTGAAAAGAAGGCATAGAAAGAGTCTCACTCCACTTCTGCTTAAAAGTCATTACTACAGTGAGTCACATGGCTACACCAAATTATACCGGGTCAAGAACAACAAATTCACAATATGCTAGGAAGGCAGAGCTGGAAATGTCTGGTAAACAGTATTCATGATTACCAGTTTATACAGGAGTTAGTAGAAAAAGAATCAACCCATTTTTGTCCCACTTAAACAAAGAGAATGAAATGATTTTAAAAAATATATCCCAGGGATTAATTAAAGCAAATAAAAAGAAAAATTACAAATCTTTATTATATACTATGGTTAACATATTCATTTTTGCATGTTATGCTAAAAGACAAAACACTTGAGTAAAGTTCATCTGTAGCCTCTGGGGTAATAAGATATTCTGATATTTCTAATAACAAAATCACTTCTTTTTTGCTGATTGTTGTTAAACTAGGACAATGATCAAATTCAAGCATACCAAATTTGTCAGTAGTTATATGAAACATGAGCTGAAAAAGTGTTCTACTTTTCTTCTGTATATGTGTGCATATAGACATATATAGACACATATATATATATATATATATATATATATAAACAAAATAGAAAATAAAGTAAATTTAAGTGACAATATTGTTTTCAGAATCATTTAGGAAAATTGCTAGTCCACATGTGTGTTTCACCTAGGTAGTATGTCATAGAATACTTCTTATACAAAGGAAAAAAGAAAATGACAAAAGCTCTGAATTACATCTCTTACCTTTACCTCATTCTCTGTAACAGCCATGTAATCTGTAGCAAAGATACAACCAGGATACACGTGAAGGAAACTACTGTCTGCCATTAAAGGTTAGATCAGCATTACATTTTCTAACGTTTCCTTTGCCAGCTTTCTTGGTTTTTCCAAGTATAGGTGAACCATTTCAAAGTCAATTTATTAATGATTAGCTTACATTTTAATGGCTGTAGTGTCTCACTAGTTTCTTACGTGTTTTTCGTATGATTTTAGTGAACACTGATACTAAAATATTATAAAAGATATGAGCTCCCAGGACAGATAATTTTGTCTTTTTAAAAGATAATACATAGTACATAAATCATATTAAATAGTAAATATGTTATATTCCAACTTAGAACTTTATAAATGTACTTACAAAGCTAATTTCTGTAAAATATATAGGGAGATTATTTCCATCAGAAAGAATGTGAGTTGAAGAGAAAACATGCTTTAAAAACAGATGTAAGTTGTTTCTGTCAGCTGAACTCCTAATTGGGAAAGGAATTACAGGCCATGAATACTTTCTATTCTACTCTTCTCTTTTTCTGGTGGTGAATGACTGCCTCGCAGTAACAGAGAGGAAAATGCAAAACAGGAATATCATCTTAAAATAAATACACTTTGAATTTAAATACGGTTTCATTCCTCCTGTTCCAAGGCTCAATATCAGATTTAAGCAACTCTGCAATTCCTGAGAACCTCAAAAGTAATATTTCTTTTTCTGATTTTTGAATATGGAGTTGTAGAATTGTTTTCTTTTTAGACTTCAGACTACCACGAATGGGTACTAAGTCTAGATTCTTATCTGTGGAGAATCTGATATAGTGGAATAGCAGGCATTATTAAAGAGGCTCTCCAGACAATTCTGATACATAGAAGACCTGAGAACAAGTGACTTGTATCATTTTCAATGATAGCTTCCTACCTTACATTATAAGGACAGTAAATAGGGTGGTTGTGGAAAACAACAGAACAGAATACTAAAGTTTGAGGACAATGTTGTATATCCTCCATTGCTGATTTAAGATAATGCTTTTTGTCAAAAAAGCTGACATACAATGTTCCTGTACTTGTCTGTTAGAGATAGTGAATTCAGAAGTTAGGAAAATAACACCAAGCGAGACAATTATAATTGCAAGTTCCGCCTCTCAGAAAAAGATTTATAAAATTCACTACAAATAAAGTTCGCTATATAAATTTTTAAAAGAAACGATTCAATATTGAACATTAGCAAAACATCTGAGATTTCTGTGGCCTAAGAACTTTCATAGGGTGAACACTCTATCAGAGAAAAATGCAAAGAAAATCAACATAATTGCTTATTGGGAGATAGCTCATATTTTTTAACATATGCAAAATAAAAAGATGCATAGCATCTTTTCTGCTTCAAGCTGTTAGAAAATATTGGGTAAAACTAATAATCAATGATAGGAGACACACTAGATAACATACTGAAATCCAACCAAGACTAATATGCTGTGACTCAGTGTTACTTTTTCTTTGGGTCTATAAAGCTCACATACTCTATTTTAAGTACTCAAATACAGATTTGGATGTATTATATCAGTGTGGAAATAAATCCCGAAAATAGCAATTTTGTGCAATGTCAGTGAGAAATTCAAGTATCACTAAAAATTTAAATATATACAATAAGACACATATGCATATTTTTTCATGGGGTCTACAAAGCTTAAAACAATCAAACAATTTCAGATACAGAAAGTGAAAGTGCCTTTTCAGTATAAATTTATTTTTGTACTTAATTTGCACAAGCATTTTAAAATATATGAAGACAACTAAACAATGATTATGAACAAGCTTTTCAGGCTTTGTTTCTTTCTTCTTTACATATAGACACTAATAGAAAAGGTGGATTAAATGCAGTCTACTTTTTCCTCAGTTGGCTGGTTTTTTAGAGAATTGTAAACCATAAAGCTAAACCGAGTAAATGTTGGAAGTTTATTGCAAGCAGCACCTTGGGCCAAAAAAGAAAAAGTTACATGGTTAAATATAGGATGTATATACTTATAACCAGTATATGCGTTGCTATATGCCTGGATATTGGCTACGATACCTATGTCTAATTAAGTCACTTAGAAGTATAGCAGTGTCATCCTCATTAGGATGAACAGTTCTAAATAGTGAACAGTCCAAGGTAAGTTTAAAAAAAAAAAAAACAGTAGGTAAGCTATTCTTTCAAGCTTCAAAAAGGTAGCTGATTTTTTTGCTACCTTTTCTATTTTTGCTATCTTTTCTATTATTTTACCTTACTGTTACCTCTGTTTCTTAGAAAAAATTATTCAGGCACATTCCTTCCGTTTTATTACTAACCCCCCCCAACACTACTGCTTTCTATTCTTCTCTACTCTTTTACTCCCATTAAAGAAGAGTTACTGACAAGATGTTATCTGTCCGACTGAGCTCACCTTCAGTTCAAATACACAGATTGTGCATGTTAGGAGGGTCTTTCCATTGTCATTATGGCAGATATAAGGAACCAGTCAATTTTAAATTCATCTACCAGTATATAATTAGCATTTTTCCATCTTGTTAAATGCAACTTTGAGTTTTCTATGTTTTATTTCTTATAAGGGAATTAATGAATCTTTTTATACATAAAGCCTTCACTGTCCTGTAACTTTTACTGACTTTTGCATCTTAGTAGTTAAAAAAGAATAAGGATTTGTTCAAACAAAGTTTTTCAAATACAGAAGTGTGAAAAGTAAAAGATCAAAGAACAATAAGCAGCAGTCTAACCAATAAGCTGTATTGATCAGTAAGCTGTATACCTTCCCTATCTGAAAATTCACTAGTAAGAATCAGCAGTGGTTGATCTTCAAATACTTTGAAACTGTGGTAGGCTCATCCATAAATTAAATGAAGCAAAAGACATCCCTCAAATATACTGCAAAAATAATTTTGCTAATTTTTCAGGTTTATTAATTAGAATTACATTTTGTTCTTTGGAGCCCCAAGATCTAATGGCTAAACCATTTATGTGATGAACAAAAAAAGAAGTAGGGAAGATAATTTCTCCCTACTTATTTTTAATTACTAAAAGCATTTGACTAAATCAGCCTATTTCAACATGTACCAGAGCTGAAACTAAACTACCTTTAGGACAGATGTAAGAGATAAGAACTAACAGCAGTAGATAGATCACAGAAGTCAACCACAACAGGATTTTAGGTATGTTTTTAAAACTTGTGGGACTTGATAAGAGCATCTGTTAACATTTACCTAGAGCCTGGTCTATGCAGTCCCCTTTCTTTTGAATATAGTGTATCACATGCTACAATATTTAAATGTATAACTTTATAAACATTTGAAAGTTCACACAAATATAATCCAAATACAACTTACCATAACCTCCAGTCACATTGGCACATATAACAGCTCCAAAGAATTTTGGAAAGTGCTTTTGAATTCTTGAAATAGCTTTTTGGCAAGCTATGGTGGGATCTTCTCCTCTTCTCATATATTCTACTGCTTGGTAGCTTGATTTAAACAGAAAGGAAACTTCAATCTCAGAGAATAAATACTAACTCCAAATTGGGTTATGTAAGGTTAGAAATTTAAAATTACTGACATTATCACACTGGATAGAATTCATATAAATGAACAGAAGAAACTCCTGCTAAAGCTTCAATAACAAAGTAACTATACTTTAATATAATGTTATTTATTTAAATCACTATTACTTTCAAATGACCATTGTAGGGGCAGAGGTAGATATAGCTGAATAGCAGTCAATAATAATAGAAGTCTCAGGGAATAGCAGTTATATTTAAATGAGGAAAGAAACTACAAAGGAGATAATACTAAATGTGTCCAAACATGTAGTTGTATAGCTAATTGTACACAACTATGCTCCTTAATTTAACAATAATCACAATTCGTTTACTCAGTGGCCTTACACTAATTATTTACCACAAATATTCTCATCTGTGGAGTTTCACAGGGCTATGAATATTTAATTTGAAAGATCATTAATTAAATGATAAGTAAAAAGCTTGTATATGTAGTTCCTAAATAGCTCAAATTCAAGTGACATAATATGAGAATTATTTTACACTTTGACAAAGAAAACATTTCCATGAAAAACCTTTAAAGTTTGCAAATCTAAGAAGTCATACCTTGGAAGGAAGCGCATCAATATATCTCCATCCCCCGTGGCTGCAGCAGCCCCTACAGCATCGTCCGCATAGGCCCCGGCTCCAGGTATTGGGGAATCTCCTATTCGACTTTATGAGCACACAGCATAAGAATTTAGCATAGGAAATTAGGTGTAAACTAAATTATGTTAAGAGCTGTTTCAAAAATGGGACATTTTCATATAGATACTAATTACTATTTTATATAAATTCTTCACCAGAATATGAGGAGGAAAGGTTAGTTTTTCAACTTAGGCCTTCATAAACTTATACAAATTACATAAGAATTTGTTATCACATGTAGAAAATAAAAAAGCTTATAAAAACAGATAAGAGACGTTTGTCAAAGGACACAGAATTTCAGTTAGACAAGAGGACTAAATTCAAGGAATCTGTTGTATAATACAGTTCTACAGTAAGTTAATAACAGTATACCGTATATTTGGAAACTACTAAAGGAGTCTTTTTAAGCATTCTCATCACAGAAACGTAAGTATATATGGTAATTCATAAGTTAGTTTGGTTTAACTACTTCATTGTCTATGCATATGAAATCATGTTGTATGGCATAGTTTTTTACTTGTCAATTAAAAATAAATTTATAAAAATAACAGAATTTCTTATGCTAAGATGACATATATAGATTTACAGTTACTATTCCATTACTACCATTCTTTAGTAGCTAAATTCCTGGATCTTCAACAGGTTTCCAAAGTGATTTTCTTACCTGCAATTTATTTCTACATTCCACGTAATGTATCAAATTTTTATAAAAGTTTTTCCATATAGTAAATCTTTAAAGTCCTACTATTTCAAAGTAAACTCCAGAACTCCTTAAAGAGACCTAAGACTCTCTGAAATCTGGCTCCAGCTTTCCCTTGCCAACTCCCACTATTCCCTCCACAAACTCCCACCAGTGATTTCTCTCCAGTTAGCAGAGGCTCTGACTTGAAGCATATCCTGCTTTCCATCTGCGAGGGCTTCGGCCTGTATGTTTCCTGTTTTTTTTTCTGCAGACTCAGGACTCAGTTCCTTCCATTCACTTTATTGGCCTTCTTACCTACTTAGCTTAAACAGATCAGCTCTCTCAGCCCTGCATGCCAAAGTTCCGGTTGGCCTTTAGCAGACAGTGAGGCCTTCTCTATCACATTGATCTATCTCAGCTGTGAGATTAGGGTTGTATTTTTCATTTTGCATCTTCCATAGCACCTAGCACATATTGCTTTACATTGTTTGTTGGAGAAATCTGTTCTTATAGAAACACTAACCCAGGTATTTTGAACTTTAGACCATTTGTAGATGTACCAGCAGCAGTATGTCCCGTCTTATGAATTACAACCATGCCTAGGGGGGAATAAAAAGATAGATAGATACAAGGTTATAAACCTAATTTTACTTCAGATATAATCAGACTAATAATCAAATAAACAAGCAGTGGTAAAATCTCAATGTTTGTGTTCCAAAATTCATATGATGAAATTGAATCCCAAAGTGAAAGATTTAGGAGGGAGACCTCTGGCTGGTGAACAAGCAGAGTCCTAATAATTTGGCTTTATATTCTCATAAGAGTGTCCTGAAAGCTAGCTAGCCCCTTCCACAATGCAAGGACATGGGGAGAAATTGCCAGCTATGAGTCAAAATACAAGCCTTCACTATACATCTTGGAATTCCTAGCTTCCATAACTATGAAAAATAAATTTGTTATTCATAAATCAGCCTTTCTATGGTACTACTTAACAATAAAGACTAAAATAGTGATACAAATGTTTTCTTGTTAATTTCAGATAGAAGAAAAGAGAAATTTTATAATTTGAAAATTATACCAGTGATGTAATTTTACATTTTAATGACCTAGTTTCATAGCATCATTTGTTAGACATTCCATATTCTTACTCCTCAAAATGTTAAGTTACTTTCAATACTTTTAAAAAAGGTAATGCCAAATAAAATTTCTGATATAGACTAAAAGAAATTGCCAGAAATGCAATTTGGAAAAGATTATTAAGGTCTTATTTAAGGTCTCTTTAATATTTCAAACCACATAAAACATCAAATAAATATGAAATAAATATTTAAAATTGAAAAGTGAAATCATTGAATTTTGGGGGTCTTTATAAGAAATTTATTGAACTATGTTGAACTAGGTAAAAATGCTAAGGCAAAAGTATGCATGTACATACATACTTTTGTGATACATATATGTTACATATATGTATATATCTATCATATATATAGGGATAAAGAGGTATAGGAGGGAATTATATATATGTGCATAAATACTTTTGTGATATATATATATATATATATATATATATATATATATATAAAACATATATATATAGGAATAAAGAGGTATAGGAGGAAATTAAATTTTAATCATGAAAACTATATAAAAATAAATTACCAATAGTATCATGACCATAATCATCTCTTATTTCTTTAGAGGTATGACTGTTCTGCTTTAAGATCCCAGGTGGTTTGTAAGGTCCACAGTATTTTGAAGAATCTGGTATAACGTTCTGTGAAAGAGTTTTACTTTTAAGAAAGGTGTTTTACAAATTGTCAAGCAATTATGTATGATCATTACACACGAGTACAAAATCAAAAAGACATCTGGTAACTCAAAGCTTAAAGATTGGCTAAGTCATATGTAAAAATAGATGAATGTGTAATTTGACTAAATTCCCATGATAGCCTCAGAATTAAATAATAAGGTTTAGGCATCTTTGTTCCATAGAACAGGTCTCTGCATTTTCTCCTTATATGCCTAAAATTCTTAGCCTAGTGGCAGATATAAAGCTTTTTATTAGATACTAATCCCCAAAGGAATAAGGTACACAACCTGACCTTCACATTTCAGAACTTGTTCTCCAGATGAAGAATTCTGAAGTTTAAAGTGACATCGGTTTTCAAATCATTTTTTTTCAAAGCTAGGATTATGTATGTTCTACAAGACACTCTTAAATTATCTTTTATATCTTAAAGGAACAAAAATATAATCTAAACTCATAAATTTAGATTGTCTATATAGTTTGGTAAAAATACAGGTTGAATAGTTCTTATCTGATATTTTGAGATTAGAACTGTATTGGATTTTGGTATATCTGTATGTACATAATGAGATATTGTGAGGTTAGATCCCAATGTAAACATAAAATTCATTAATGTTTCATAAGTATTCATGTTGAAAGTAATTTTACAGTGTTTCCAGTGTGACTGCATTTTGAAAAGCAATGGGTCACATGAGATAGTATGGATTTTTCTACTTGTAACATCATGTCAGCACTCAGAGGATTGGATTTTTAGATATCTGGATCAAGGATGATCAACAAATACTCATATATTATGTCAGTGTACTAGATACCTCGTATAACCTGGTTTTATAAATAGAGTCTTTCTAGATGATAAGCCCTGATAGTCCTTCATAATCAGGACTTAAGAAATAGATGAGAAACTACAATACTAGATAGAAGGAACCTTTATGGCACAAACAAACTGATTTATGCTAAAAATCTCATTAAAGACAATTATCCCACTAGTAATGTACTAGACACGTAACAGTATAAATCCTCCAGTCAAATCAGGTGAAGGAACTGGATAGATTTTACACAGATAAAACTTAACAATATTTTGCAGTAATGTTCCTCAACTTTTGATTTATTTTAAAAGACTCTGTCCCAAGGAAATACTAACAGACCAGTTCTGACACAGTCAGCTTCACTTCGAAAGTAAACCTTTCACAGTTTGCAAATTATTTTTAGAGAACAGTAGCTCTGTACCCCAGGTGTGAAAGTGAGGTTGCTAGAGAGCCATTGGAAGCACCCAAGGTCCTCAAAACAACTTAAATCATTGCTTCTAATGTGTAGTACATCTAGGGAAATAACCTGCACCCTTGGCGATGGGTAGGCAATAGAGAGGAGAAGGATGTCATTTAAAATTTTCAAGCAATTTACCTTTTAAAATTGAATATATATACATACTTTCCAATAATTTGGCTGGCAATTCCTAGCAAGCCAATCTGAATGAAGAGTATGAGAAGCACTGGTAGATAAATCTTCATTGATAAATCCCATACTCTCAGCAAACTTGGTGGCTAGACATTAGGGAAAAAAATGTAAGGTAACTAAGTTTATATATACCATGAGCAAATTGTATCTACTAGAGGCAGTCTACTGTCAGCTATCTCTCAAGTGGGGTACTCAAAGATTATCAAAGGTGTTTTCAGACGGAGATAGGTTTAGAGATCAACTTCTAATTTCCACATGTCTTTTTTTAACTGATCTATTTGAAGTGTGTATGTTATGTATCTCCTATGCAACCTCACCTGCACTGGCTCCTCCCCACTTTTCCAAAAATCAAAAGACTCACCTTTCACCAAGACAAAAATCTTACTGCTCTAACTAGGGCATAAAGCTAAGGGCACAAAAAAACTTTAGGATATCAACCAAGGAGATGAATGGATTCCACTGAAAAAGTAAAAGATTCTATTTCAGGTGGTTTACAATTGTATACTTTCAAACTGAAGGTCTACTATATGTCAGAATTTCTGTTTATACATCACTGTACCATATGTAAGAGGCAAAATGTTGAAATCAGACCCTCTGCTAAAGCAAACAGGTTCTCTACCCTCTCACTTGCTAATAATGTTCTCGGGGTCTAACATATATAAAAATGTAATATAGGAAGAAAACTGATGCTGAATCTAGTTTCAGTTCAGTAATTATTCATCTACAGATAATAAATATTTTTAAAAATCCTATTTTAAAGACAAAGAAAGTGAGATTTACAAGGTAATAAATCTATCTAATTAAACAGGTATTAAGTACAAGAGCTGGATTTTGAATTAAAATGTGCTTTTATCCCTGTTTTATATAGAGTTCTATTTTTACAGTGAAAATTATAGACAAGACCGGAAAAACTTTCAGTATAATTAAAAAATACCTGACTCTCCCGCTAAAAGCGTGTGAGTTGTATGTTCCAGTACTTTCCGTGCCACACCGATAGCGTTTTTAATTCGTCTAAGATCTCCTACTGCTCCTACATCCATAGTAGTGCTGTAAGATATAAATGCCAAGTACAGGAAAATATTCTCCTAAGTTCACTGCAATGCATTTCTCCAAGTAATGTGCTGTAGAATAAATTCTACCTTCTTAACACAAATGTGAAAGTACAACCATAAACTCCCTAGGGTACCACAATCAGACACAATTAAAGACAAAGTAGTAATTCAATTAACCATATAGACCAAAGCACTAAGTTCTGTATCTCTTACCTTACTTTAAACCTGGTTTTGAATGTGGCCTTACAGTTTTGGACCAAGCAAACTACATCATTTGGGGGTGGCAAATAAATGACTAAACTGGATCAGAGGCTTATTTTTATATCTTAGGAGTCTCCCTGAGAGTATGTACTTTGTTAGTTATTTCCACCATTAGGATTTTGCTTTAACTGAGAGGGAAAGTCTTTTTGTTTAGAAAAGCCAAGTACAATAACCTAGTTTGACCTATGACTGATCATACATCCTTCCATCTCACTCTTCAAAGAGGACCACACCTCTAAATGTAATTAAACATGGATCAAAATCGCAAGGATAAACAGGTGCAGCGGGGCACTCTTACCCGTCCATGATCATTGCATCCAAGGTGGTTTCCCCAATTTCATCAGGACTTCCTCCAAAGCCTACAGAGCCATCACACTGCTCTTGCTCACACACGGCACAGCCATTCTCCACTGCATCCAAGGTAGACCCTCCAGATGCTAACGTCCGCCATGCTGCCAAATCCCAATAACGCTTGTTTATAATTATAGATTTTTTCAGTGTCAAATGAACCAAACCAAAAACATTTTGCATATCCCTACTGAGATTCTGTTTTCACATTGAAACTGAACTTTTAACAAGATAATCAAAGCGCTACAAAGGAATTTTAAGAGACAAGGGAAAAAGTACATCACTACCTGTAGCTCAGTACAAAGGTCTTAGGTTGAATGCTCAATTCAGGAAAAAAAAAATCAGACTACCTGTTGGTGGAAAGTGAAGGTTTATTTATTAATATCTATTTCTTCTGTATAAATAAGTATCCTCTCCTTTATTTATTTTTAGCTGCTGGGGACAGAACTGAAGGCCCTAGCACTAAGGTAGATCCCCAGCCATTTAAAAATTTGTATTTTGAGACGAGGTCCAGCTAGGTCACTCAGTGGCTCAGCGTGAACTACAACTTATGAACCTTTTGCCTTAGACTTCTGAAGTATTCAGATTACAGATATGGCCATCACACCTAGCTTCCTCTACTGTATTTTAAAAGGCACAACTGAAATCACCCAAAGCCAGCTAAATTCAAAAATCTATTAACCCACCTTATAAAATACTTCTATATCCTTAGAGCATTAAAGATACTCATAACTAGTGCTGTTTTTGAGGCAACACCTATTAGCTCTAATACTGTAATAGGAAATAAATAATGCAAGCTTTATAGGATTAACTTATTTTATATTCACATCAGTTTTTACAGTAGCACTGTGTACAAATAAAATTATTTCAAACACAAGGAACAGACAGAGAGGTTAGGTAATCTGTTCAAGGTCACACAGCAATTTCTAACAGTAGTCACTTTGACAAGTGTGGCTGTACTTTTAGTTCTATGCTGTTCTCTGTGTGTGTGGGGGGGTGCATTTTTAATGGTCAAGTTCAAAAGTAATTAAAAAAAGATAATTTCTTTACTGATAAAAAGAGAATTCCTTGAAGAGTAGGTGCTACTATTGAAAAGCACCAACTGCTATCACTATTGGACTTACTCTCTTGTAACTTACACAGAATTGTCCCCTGCCCAGTCTGATTTCTCATGCTCTCTGATTTTATATGCACTACTTGTAACACACAAATTTTCCTCTACTAAGCCCTGGAACCAATTTTTCTTTCATTGTTACTACAACTAGCAGCTTCAGAAAAAGGTCTGAAGTGATTCCCGGGGTAGTATGTTTTGAAGCATATTCAAAAAACGAGCATGACACTACATGAACGCTACGATAATGGTATACACAGGGTAAGAACAAAGAGCACAAGAGAGGACCCTAATCCAGTGGGCAGTCAAGGGTACACGTCCTCAAGAAGGTGATACCTTAGCCCTGTGGTTCTCAGCCCTGGCTGCAAACGAAAACTCACACAGCAGCTTTTAAAATCAGATGCCCTGGTTCAGCAGTGAGAGCAGTCGCAGGGCAGGCAGGTCCACAGGAATCCTCCGAGGCCCCCCGGGTCATTTTAATGAACAGCCAAGCCTGGGTAACAAGGACGCTGCATCAGCGAGCAGCAGCAAACGTAAAAGGGAAAAGTGAGAATTTGCTTGGAAAATAAATTAATGTTCCCAAAGTGGAACCCAAGGTCGAAGTGAAGTGAGGGGTCAGAGAGGTGTGGCAAAGCAGATGGAAGGCGGCCTGCGAGAGGACTGCGCGTCTGATAGGAGCCAGCGCGGGCGCCGCCGGCACAGAAAAAACAGAAGCGCTCTAGATCAACTGCGGGGGAGAGGACAGTAAAGGGCGGCAGTGGCACGGAGGAAGAGGAAAGGCCGGCTGCAGGCCGCGCGGGGCAGGAGGGCTGAAGGCCGGGGCTGCGCTCGCCCGGCCGCCGCGCGCCCCACTCGGCGGCGCCAGCCCTTCCCCACTGCGGCCCCGGCGGCGCGGCCACCCGCCCCGGCCGCCACCCCGCACCTGCTTCGGTCGCGTTCTTAAAAGGCCAAGTGTTGACGACCAAGGGGAGAGGGCCGCAGCCGCACACCACAGCCGGGCTGAGCAGAAGCGGAATGACAATGAAAGGCAAATTCGACTTCCGCGCCATAGCTGCGAGCCGAGCCCAGCAGCACGAGAAAGGTCGCGAGACCCGCGGCCCGCAGTCACCCGAATGCTTCCGCGGGCGCTCACAGGAACCTGGTTCACCGCCCTCCTGTGACCACGCCCTCTCCCGGGTTTGGTCTGGGCTCCTTTGAACTATCGCGAGATTTGACCTCTCCGTGGAGCGCAGAGTTGAGTCGGTGGTGCTGAGGTCATCAGCCATGAACTGTTTCCTCTTGAATTCTTAGATGCTGTGCAGTATTTTTTTTTTTAATAGTCAATTGAATTACTACTTTCTCCGTTTTTACAAGGTAGATTGCGCCTCATATTGGAAAATTAGTATGACGGTAGCAACTTCTGGTAATTACTATTATTTCATTTAGTTTTTACTTTATTCTCTTAATTAAAAGTTGAAGTTTGAAAGTTTGTCCTCTGGAATTCCTCAGACATCCACCCATTCTTTGCGTTGCCACCCACCACACACTTTTGTAGGACGTCCTCTGGTTATAAATCCCTGAGGTGGAAGAATTGGACAGTTGGGAAAATAGAAGTGTACCCTCTGCATAGCCCACTGAAGGGCGCATTCCTGCGCCTGCAGCATGAATAATACCTCCAGTCTTACCTATTGTATTTTCGTGCCTGGCACCATTAAGTATTAAATAAATGTTTGAATAAAAGGAAGGATGGAGCGTTTACATGCCTGGTAGAAGCTGCTCATTTTGATAACTCGGCTGCACTGTTGTGTGAGCGTGGACCAGTAATCCCTCTGGGGCTCTGCAATGCTTAGCCATGTATGTAAGGGAAGACAATTGTGAAGAACCTCTATAAATCTATCCAGACTTGTAAAATATGAACTAGATGGGAGTTGTCAGGCTTACAAAATCTTCAAAACTCTTACTGCTAGGAAAGTGAATATGTAATTTAAACAGCATAAGATACCTAGAAGAATAAAGGCAAAGGAATGCTATTCGAAAGTCGGGTGTAATTAAAAATAATAATAATAAAAAAAAAACCTGTTGTTGAGTTCCTTCAGTGGGCTTTTGGAGGGGGAATAAACCATGCGTGCTGGGGAGCAGACCAAAAGTTAATCCTAGGTGGTAGGTGAAACAGGTTAAGAAAGCCAAGAAAACTTACATTGTCCTCTGAATGGATTTTTCTTAGCACTTGAGCTGAATATAGCTTATACAGACTAAGGAACTAGGACACTTCTTCAGCAAAAATTGTAAAATACTATACGTGGGAAATTGGCCTTAGTGCCTGCAGCATTCTCTAGCCTTTTCCTAGCTTTTCAGGTGTTTGTGTTTCTCCAATTAAAAGAACCTAAATTTTACCTCCTACTGTATTCAATCTTTTCTCCAAAATTTTTTTGCTTGAAGTCAAAATCTCATCAGAGAAATTCATCCCATTTGTTGGTTGGAGAAAAACAGCTAAATTACTTGCTAATCAAAATGCTAATTTTCTCACAAGTTTTTTTTTTTTTTTTTTTTTTTCATACTAGGAGTTTTTGGTACTGGGAATTGAAGTCACAGTTTCATGCTGGTGAGGCAGGCTCTTACTATGCCACTGAACTAAATCCTTGGCCCATTTTATTTAAAATAATAATAATCTCAAAAGATTACAGTCTTTGGTGGCTATTACAAACCAACTGAATCTAGTTTGTCTAGATTTAATTATTTCTATGGCTTAAGGAAGTTAATCTAGTTTGGATATTAGGTTTCCTTCTGTATTATTACTTGTTTTCTAACTAACATTTGCAGTACTTCAGCCTTCAGACCTAGAAGTCACTTGTTGTTAGTTTCAAGCTTTCATTTGTCATCAATTTAACTGGTTCCTTCTGCTTTGTAATGGGGAAAATCTAAATGAACAAGAACATTTGTTTACAGTTTGGTGGGTAGACCAATAATACAGTGTACAATTTTCCTGACATTCTCTTTAATTTTTATTCAGTCATTATATTTAATAGCTGAGATACAGTGTTTCTGAGAAATCAAAAAACTATATAATTAATTTTATTTAAATCTAAAATGCATCACACAGTTTTGTTTGGTAAAATGTTTTTATTCCTAAATTGAATTTATATCTAACAATACTTTAGCAGATTTTCAAGACCTGGATTGTGAAACTTAGAGCAACTATATCAAATGCAGTTGACTTTGTGTAGTCTTCCTAGATCTGGTTCTTCATCTATAGTAATACTGCTCTTATCATACAAAGTTTTGTGAATGAGGTAAGAGATGTTAGATAATGTTAGAGTGCTAATGAAATAATATACTAATGTTTTAATTAGTATTATCAAGTATTTGTCAATTGGTGTCAGCAATCCAGAAACAAAAAGCAGCAAAAAGAAATTAGTTTGAGACAGAGAAATTTATATAGGAACTATAGAGTTGGCTGAATACTTAGAATGCATTTTTTTGGAGGGTTGTTACCAGGAATCAAACTCAGGACCTTGTGCTTGCCAGGAAGGTGCTTATGCTGCTGAGCTGTATGCCTGGCCTCCTAGAATGCATTTTAAAGTAAGTACTTAGAACTTCTTTGTATATTAAATAAGAGTTATAAATGTTTTTGGTGTATTTTGATATATCTAAATTTAGTTTAAATTTACAAAGATGTTGCATCATGGGTTGTGAGATTTCTGCATGTCTTTAAAAACAGCATCCTTAGGTTCTACATAGGATAAAGTCTCTAATGAAACCTTAAATGATGTTACAAATAAAACCATTTTCTGTGCTCGTGTGTGTATGTGTGTGTGTTGTAGGTTGAGGAAGGATAGGTGGTTCAAGGAGCTGCACGCACCCCTCTTTTTCCTCTAAACTTCATGGCTTTCAATTTATCAGTCTCAAAAGGATGAAGAATTGAGTCTCTCCTGATAGTATTTGAAGCTGTGGTTCTACAGAGGATTTAACGCTGTAGTTGCAAGGAATCTAGGTATTTCAAATCTGAGGCTTAAAAAACTAAGCCGTCCCCTCCGGCTTTTGCACTGATGCTGTGAAATCCATTTGAGAAACATGCCCATGTTTTGCTACTTGTTCAAAGCTGTAAGCGTGACTTGGCATTGAAATAATAATTCCTTTTTTTAAAACTCCCCACTGAACTATTACCTAGGTTATCTAAATACAGGCTATTTATTTGATTGGCATTTGCTCCTAGCAGCTTTGCAAACTAAGTAATGACTTCTACTGATGTTAAATCATTGTTGTACTATATTTCTAATTTAATTCCTTTTGTCCATTAATTCAGGAACACCTGATGGTACTATCTGATCATATATTATGGATGTAATTAGAATTACAAAGAAGCGTTATCTTATTCTCTAAATGAAAGAAGAGAATATTATTCCTTTCTGAGATTTTTTTTCTGTTTATGCCTTCAAATAGTTTATCAAATCAGTAAAGATTAAAATCATAAACTTTAAGCAACACTTTTAACCTTTAAATGTCATCATAGTACTTATAAAGACCAAGATAATATAATAGAATATTGATGTAGTAATTTTTGTCTTCAAACTAAATTATGTGCAACATATTTAAATTTGTGATATTATTCCATTGTTATAAAAAAGTTACTATAGGAAGGATAGAATATCTCACTTTACATAATGAATGCTGCTTTTTGTGACTATTGTTTATAATGTCACAATATATTTATAAATGTGATCCATTACTACTAGAGGTTCAGGCCTGAGGGCAACATAACAACTTCCTACCATTTTAAGTGTCACTTTGACATTGTTTACTAGTGCCGAAGATGATTTTAATAAAGAAATTCATCAACAAAAGCAAAACTTCCAAATGACAATAACTTACAGTAAGTCTTTATTACTTTAAAGTTATATTTCTTTGTTGAGTATTTTAAACAGCATTTTGGGGTGGGGAGTACTGGGGATCCAATTCAGCACCTTGTGCTTATCAGGCAAGGCACTATGCCACTAAACTGTATCCCCAGCCCTTGTTGATTATTTTAAATGGAAAAATATATTAGTAATGAACACAGGTTTCTTGAACATAACTATGCAAGTAGTTTTTCAGTGGCTCATATAAAGATTTAGAAGAAAAATAATTTTACATATGACACAATATTTTTCTTTTTTATAGTAATACTTATATGAGTTCTTCACTCATATAAGAGTATATAGAGTATTCCAAAATACTCTAGCCCTTACTGAAAATATCAGCCTTTTAACGTTTTAAGTGCTGTTATACACAATGTTGAATAAACTACTTCTTAATATTTCTTAAACCTCTTTACATGTCTTACACTTTGTAAAATTTTTATTGTGGAATATCAATAAGAAAAAGGCTTAAAATAAAGAATTTTGTAGAAAACTTATACTCTCATAATCACCACTCATGTCAATGAGTTTTGTCAGCATCCCCAAGATCCCTTCTTTCTACAACAAAATTTTTAAAAGACTTTGTAAGAGCAATTTTTGTTTCAAAGAAAAACTGAGTGAAAAGTACAAAATGTTCTGTTAAATCCTTACCCTTACATGTAATAGTTTCTTTTAATCTTAGCCTCCACCAGAATAGTACATTTCTTATAATCAATTAACCTATATTGATAACTTGAAGTCAATAGTTTACATTAAGACCCACAGGTGGTTTTTATATTCACTAGTCTTGTTTGACAAATGTATAATGACATGTTCCATTATTATAGAATTGTAAAAAATTTTTACTGCCAAAAGGATTCACTATATGCTGCCTGTTCATCCTTCCCTGACCAACCTGTGGCAACCACTGATTATTTTATCATCTCCATAATACTGTCTTTTCCAATCTGTCATTTTGTTAGACTCCTACAATATGTAGACTTTTTACACTGGCTTCTTTTACTTAGTGATATGTATTTCTTTCCGCTATGTGTTTTTATGGCTTGATAGCTCATGTATTTTTGGTGTTGAATATTACCCTATTGTCTGGTTGTACAGTAGTATCCATTCATCTACTGATGGACATCTTATTTGCCTCCAAATCATGGTAATTATGAATAAAGCTACCATAAACATCCATGTGCAAATGCAGCATAATTTTAATGGGTATATAAAATCCATCTATGAGTACACAGAAACATCGATTGAATTCTGTTGCCTTTTAAATTTTTGGGTTTTGTATAGAAAGAA